TGACGCTAGTGAATGTCCCCCTTGATGAACGGTCTGCGCGGGCAAATTCCGCCACGATCGAGGACCTGACGCGTTCTAGGAAAGCAACAAGTTTGCTTGCCTTTTGTCGTCTTCGAAGGCCTTCTGATCGTGTGGGACGATGACGCACTCCACCTGATTCCCCGAGCCAAGGCCATCGAGTCCGAACTCATGGAGCTCGTGTGGAAGGCAGGCAGCGAAGAAGAGGAAGAAGGCGGCGAGAAACGCGACCCCAACGTGGCTGAAGTCGAGATTGACGAAGAGAGCGGCGAGATCATCCCTGAGAGGCGCCCCGTTCATCTCATGAACACTTGGCTCGTCACTTTCACTCTGATCCTCGTCACCGTGGCTCTCGGCGCTGCCTGGAGGTCTCTCGCCCTCCAGATTGCCGTGGACGGCAATTACGTTCGTCTGGCTCTCATCTCCCTCTTCCCCATCCAGGTGTTCTTCACGCTCTTCTTCGCCCAGGTCATCATTGGCTGCTTGGCCCAGATCTTTGGTCCCATCCGCCAACTGACCATCAACTCAAAGTTTTACTCTGCTCGCCCGCCCCCCAGACTGCAGGGCAACATCCTGCCTCATGTTACCATCCAGTGTCCTGTATACAAGGAGGGTTTGGCCGGTGTCATCGTTCCCACGGTCAAGTCCATCAAGCAGGCCATGTCCACATATGAACTGCAGGGTGGCTCTGCCAACATGTTCGTCAACGATGACGGTCTGCAGCTTCTCTCCGACGAGGAGCGCCGTACGCGCATCGAGTTCTACGCCGACAACAGCATCGGCTGGGTCGCACGCCCGAAGCATGGCGAGGATGGCTTCATCCGTGGCGGCAAGTTTAAGAAGGCGTCCAATATGAACTATGGCCTCATGGTCTCTTGCAAGGTCGAGGAGAAGCTGCTTGCAATCAACCGTGGTCCCGAATGGTCGCAAAATGATGAAGCTGAGGCGTACGAGCTAGCTCTCAAGGAGACGCTCGAGGAGAACCCTCGCGCCTGGGCCGATGGCAACATCCGTGTTGGCGACTATATCCTCATTATCGACTCTGACACGCGTATCCCCTCAGACTGTCTTCTCGATGCTGTTTCGGAGCTGGAGCAATCTCCCGACGTTGGCATTATGCAGTTCTCATCTGGTGTCATGCAAGTTGTCAACACATACTTCGAGAACGGTATCACGTTCTTCACCAACCTCATCTACACAGCCATTCGTTACACCGTCGCCAACGGTGATGTCGCGCCCTTCGTCGGTCACAACGCCATTCTCCGTTGGAGTGCCATTCAGCAGGTGGGATACTTTGACCATGACGGCTACGAGAAGTTCTGGTCCGAATCCCACGTCTCGGAGGACTTTGACATGTCCCTACGTCTTCAATGCAACGGCTACATCATTCGTCTCGCTGCTTGGGCCGGTGATGGCTTCAAGGAGGGTGTGTCGCTGACCGTTTACGACGAGCTCGCCCGTTGGGAAAAGTATGCCTATGGTTGCAACGAGCTGCTGTTCCACCCTATCCGCACTTGGCTCTGGAGGGGTCCTTTCACGCCACTGTTCCGCACATTCTTGTTCAGCAACATTCGCTTCACCTCCAAGATCACCGTTGTCTCGTACATTGGTACTTACTACGCCATCGGAGCTGCCTGGATCATGACGGCTGCCAACTACTTCGCCATGGGTTGGTTCAACGGATACCTCGATCAGTACTACATCGACTCGTGGAAGGTCTGGTTCTCCATCGTCATCGTCTTTAATGGTCTCGGTAACATTGCTCTCGCCGTTATGCGTTATCGTATCGGCGAACGCAGCCTGCTGTGGTCGCTCTTCGAAAACTTCAAGTGGACCATTATGCTTGCGATCTTCCTTGGTGGTCTCAGCTTGCACGTCAGTCAGGCTCTGCTGGCGCACATGTTCGAAGTCAACATGACCTGGGGAGCGACATCCAAAGAGGCCGAGTTCTCCAACTTCTTCATCGAGGTGCCCAAGGTTCTTAAGAAGGTCAGTTCCTCCCTACCCCAAGCCAATCATCCGATTATCCCGCGCTGGTGGCGCAGCTGAAAGTGCACCTTTCACCACACGCACCGGGCCTCGCACCAATCAGCGGGCGATTTGTTCACTTCAGCTTTCCTTTCCTTGTAACAGTCTGCTGACGTGTGCCCAATTACAGTTCAAAGTTTCGATGATCTTCTCTTTGACCTTTATTGCTGCTATGATTATCCTCGCCGTGGCAGATTTCGTGCCTCACGACTGGCGTATCACCGACTTTGTTGCCATTCTGCCCATGGCCACTGTCGCCGCGAGTCATTTCCTCCTACCCATCGCCCTCAACCCAGCTCTCATGACTTTCTCATGGTAAAGGCGAGGCTCAACATGCACAATACACGCCATATATACGGCAAAGCAACTGAAAAAAAAAAATCCCTTCCAAACATGATGAATCGCGATCGCCTCACGGGGCAAACAGCTTGAGCTGTGTACATACGCGAAATAGGCGTTGACGGAATGCCGGGATTTATAGACCTGGGACCATATTGGCGTTGGGTTGAAACTTGATCTTTTTTCGCACATCTACATGAACCACTTAGAGTCCACCTTGGATACATAGCACCGCGCAGACAGGACGCGGCGAACAGAGGGAGAGGCTACGTACGTAGTGACGACGGGAGCTCCCGGGTTCCCTCGCATCGTACCGCTTCATCTTAACTTTAAATTCTTACGAGAGAATCACAGGGGGCCAGGCTCAGCTCTAGACTCGATAACTTGGCCGGGGGCGCTTGAGAAAGCGCGGGAGTGTTGTTCACTAGGGCAGATTGCCCGAGGAACCAGAGAAATTGACGACTACTCTACATGACTACCTATTCTGACCATTTGTCATTCATCATCGCAAAGTGATACATGGTGATGCTCTATGTTGTCCAGGACCCGGTCGTAACCGTGATTGACTATCCACGCAGACTCGTACTCATGGTCCTGTGAGGTTCGCTCAGCATAATCGGTATAGACATGACACGAAGCGCTAGGCGGGAAGGAAGGCGCTCATCAACAAGTCAGTCAAAAAGGAAATCTTCTCCCTATATTTCGTCACGCGGCAAAATGCCTCTGCGCCACAACGACGCGCGCCCATCTAATGCTAAACGCCTCTATGCCAGTTTGTTCGGATGGAGAGTTGAAAAGGAAACCCATCCGGCCCCTCTAGTCAGGGCCATCGTCGAGAGAGATCGGGCGGGGAAGTGATCCCGCAACCCAACAAGAAGAAGAAGAAGAAGAAGCAGAAATCAAGACCAGGTTCGCAAGATGAGAACAAAAGAGGCCTTGCCTGACAGAAACAAAACAAAACCAAACAAAAAAGCTAGGTAGCCACCATCAACGGAGGGGTTTTTCCCTTGCCTTTTCTACCGCTTCAATCCCGCCTTTTCTTCGAAATGACTGTCCAACCGTTCCTGGCCAGATATTCGGCCCCTCGCACGCTTTTAGTTTTCACTCGTTTCCACATCTCTCGTGACGGGTTGGGGGGTATACTGCTGGCCCCTTTTGCCGTCTCGTCAAGTCGCGCGAGCCTTCGTGCATTCGACGCTCCGAAACCATACTCGTGCGCTTCCGATCGGTCTGCCTCAAGCACACCTATGCCTCGTCGTCGGTGTCGACGGGGTGAGGGGTGCCCTTGGGGCTGTTGAGCCACTCAATGTGGCGGAGGCGACGACGGACCTCTTGCTCCTTGATCTCCTTCTTGGTCTTCTTGCGCTTCTTCTTGGCCTTGAACTTGAGGTCGCCGTTGTCTTCGGTTCCTGAGTTGACAGCCGAGGACATGGCCGAGCTGGCCGCCGTTGAAGCGACGCCGGAGGTAAGGCCGGAGCCAGGGCGGGACGAGTCCTCGAAGCGGTCGAGGGAGACGGCAGCTGTGCCGCGGTGCGCGACGCGACCGTCGTTGACGAGCCACTGCTCGGAGCAGAGCGCTCCGACGAACTCTTCGTTGTGGGAAATGAGAATGACACCACCCTTGAAGTCGCGGATGGCAACAGCAAGACCACCGAGGGAGTCGCGGTCCAAGAAGTTAGTAGGCTCGTCGAGCACGAGAAGATGGGGGTTGTTCCACATGGCTCCGGCGATGACGACCTTGACCTTCTGGCCACCAGAAAGAGAGCCGATTTCGTTGTGGTTGGCAATCTCCGGGTCGAGACCCAAGTCGAGGAAGTGCTTGGAGATGACGGAGGGCTGGAGCTCACGGTAGCCGAGACCCTCGCGCGAAGCCTCGTGGTCGTCAAACTCTTGGACGAGCTTGTCGAAACCCCACTCCGAAAGAGTCTCACGGGAGACCTGGCTGTTGTTCTTGGGCAGCCAGTTGCGCCATTTGCTAAAGAACGTTAGATGACGGCAATGCTTGAAAAGGCGTTTAGACTTACACTTCGTATTGGAATGTCTTCTTCCACTTCTGACGACCAACGAGCGCCTCAAGCTGACGGCCGCCCTTTCCGTCACCAAGATCGATCATCTTGTCCATCTGCTCACGGTCCTTGTCGGAGAGAATGCGAGTCTGCTTGAGGAAGACTTCACGATCGTCACCGTTGGCGTAACGCCACTGCAAGTACTGGTTGGGAGTCTTCTCGAGATGCATCTCAACGTGCTCGAGAGCGTGCTGTTTGATGTAACCAATACGCAGGTTGGGGTGCTTCTCTACCTTTCCGGTAGTAGGAATGGTCTCGCCCGTAAGCAGCTTGATCAGAGTGGACTTTCCGGCACCGTTGGGACCAATGATGGCGACGCGGGACGAGAGCGAGAGCTGGCACGATACTTCCGACAGCGACGGCTTGTCAGATCCAGGGTAGGCGTACGAGACGTTGGACATGCGGATAATGGCGCGAGTCTGGGACTTGACGCCGCTAAGAATTCCCGGAGGAGGGAACTTGAACTGGACCTGAGAAGCCGAGAGCGTGTAGTAGCTCTTGGCCTCGGGCTTGACCTCGACGAAGGCAGCAAGGTTACCCTTGTAGTGGCCGAGCTTCTTGCCAGGCTCGTAATGGTAGATGTCGGTCGTGACGTTGTCGAGGAATCCAGAGTCGTGAGACACAATCAAACTAGTAATGTCGGTGTGAGACTTGAGGTAGTTCTCGAGCCAGGCAATGTTTGCAACATCCAAGTGGTTAGTAGGTTCGTCGAGCAGCAGGACGTCGGCGCGGGCAAGCATAGCGCGGGCCAAAGCAAGCTTCATCTTCCATCCACCTGACAGGGAGCCAACCTTGTGCGACTGCCTGCCCTCAGGGCCAGAGGTGAAGCCGAACTCATCAAGAACCTCAATAATCTTCTCGCGGCCCTGGGTGGCGATCTCAGGGTCCTTGGACACAAACTCGAGAATGCTGATCTCGGCATCCTCGCCCTGGTTGTGCTCGACGTAACATGTACGGAGAACATCCTGGGGAGGGAAGCCCTCAAGCTTGCCGTTGGCAATGCTACGCATGAGAGTGGACTTGCCGGCACCGTTGCGACCGCAAAGACCGTAGCGGTGACCCTTGAGGAGACGAAGGTTGGTGTGGGAAAGCAGAAGCATGCCACCATAGGCAAGAGAAAAGTCGGCGTTGACAATCTCGGTCTCGCCGTCATCCTCCCTTTCGGGAACACCATATTTGCGAGCGTCCTCCTCGACGTAGTACTGCTGCACAGCGTCGGCAATGGTGGCGCTGGCTTCGGTGAAGGTCTGGAAGTAGGGCGAGATGCGCGCGGATACACGGTCAACGTGGCGGTGGTTGACATCCTCGGCGATTTGCTCAGCAACATAGTTGCGGACTTCCTTGACGAAGGCAGCCTCACCAGCCAGTCCACCATTCTTCTTGACCTCGGCATCGATGACCTTGTCGACATCAGCGGCGGAGATGCGCTCGACAACATCCTTGTCGCCCTTCATGGCCTTCTCGATGACATCGAGAGCCCTCTTGGCGAGCTCACGAACCTCGGGGAGCGAGGCACGGTCGTAGACGCCCTTGACACCCGGCTGAAGCTTGGGCAGGAAGGTGCGGGCCTCGATAGGGTCGTGAACGAGCTTGGTCAAGTTCTCCACGACAACAACGGTCTGTCGGAGAACCTCCTGCGAGGTGGAGGGGGTGTTGAGGGATCGCTCGAGAAGGGGCGTCAGGAGGGCCAAAACGGGGGAGGTGACGATGGCAACAAAGGTCGTCTGCGAAAGGGCGTGGATCGCCTTGCGGAGGGTGTCGACGGAGGGGTGCTCCATGGTGTCGATGAGCAGAGGAATTCGGGGGGCAACGTCGTCGTTAGACAAGAGGTTGGTGAGCGAGTTCATCGCCTGAACAGCCTGCTTGCCGACCTCGGCCTTGAGGTCGTGCATGCCAGCCTCGACAATGGGGATGAGGCCAGCGAGCTTGGTGCCGAGGGAGTCGCGCAGGACATCGCCTTCGGCAGCCTGCTCCTTGGTGGAGCCAACGATCAGCTTGGCCTTATCGGCCATCTTCTGGAGGAGCTTGTAGGCGCCGATGGTACCCTGCCACTTGCCGGTAGACTTGCTCAGGTACGCGGAGAGGGCAGGGAGAAGGCCGACGACGAGAGCCTCGGGGCTCAGGTGGGCAAACAGGGCATCGAGGCCATACTGCGCCGCGTCCCGCACGACAGTGCCCTTGTCGGCGAGAGCGTCGAGGGCAACGTTGACGATACCGCCATTCCTGAGGAGGAAAATGGTCTCGCTGCTAGGCTGCTTGGCCGGGAAGCGCTCAAAGAGCGCACCCAGGAGGTTTTGGGCGCTCTCGCGGCGAAGGCCACTCTTCTTGTCGGCAGCAGCCTTCTTGATCTCAGCGAGGACGCCGTAAGACTCGAGGCCTTGGGAGCCGACCGAGTTGAGGAGGAGTTCGCACAGGCCGTAGGAGGCCTCGATGGACTGGTTGGAGGTCTGGGCGGTAAAGATGGTAGTGATGAAGGCAGAGACGTCTTGCTGCGACGGCGCAGGGCCCGCAGCCTTCGACACCATCGTCATGTTGGGCTCTGGTGGAGGAGAGACGGTGTGAGGCATCGCAGGTTCAAAACCTGGATCTGATTGTGGAGGCGTTGAGGAATCAGCGGGGAGAACAAGGCTGATTCTTTTGGCTGCTCAGGTCTGTCTGGTTGAGGTGAAGAGGGCGAGGTCGTGAGAACTCGGCCACAGGGAGACAGGAGAGAAGGAAAGCAGAGAAGAAGAAAAAAAGCCAACTGTCTCTGGGCTCCGAGTGTGTCAGGTCGCAAAGGGGAAAATCTGGAACAGAGCAGAGGCCCTTTTCTGTACTTTTGTCGCTCAGGCTTGGGCGCTGGCGCGGATCAGTCAGGCGCAGTACAGGGCAGCCAGGTGCAACCGTCAGGGTCTTCCTAGCGAGCCTTGCGGAGTATCCAGGCCAGGGCAGGTGCTACCAGGTCACCAAGGGAAAGTGTACCCCTCCTCCTCCTGCTCGCCCGCCCCTCGACCCAAGACACCCCGCCATCCAATCCCTTGGTCCATGTGAAGGATTTTTTTTTTATCTTTTGCGCTACTTGTCTTATCACATTCAGCCCCTCCTCCGATAAGCCTGGCTTTTCCCCTTTTGCCTTCCCTGTTTTGTCTCGCTTGCTCCGTCCGATAAGCACCCGTCTCCGATAACACCCTCCCGGACCCATTATTTCCAGGCCATGTGCTCCACTCTTGCTTTCTCATCAGAAAGCCATCAGAAATCCATCCCGAGTGAAAGTCCCTTCGACCACCTCTTGGAGGGGTCGGAGCCGTGGGATGACGCGCGCTTTCGTCCACTCTGACAATCCATCAATCTGCAGCTTCTCATTCGCTCGAGCGGCAGTCCATGTGCCCCGCTATGCTGGACTCTGTCCCATGAAAACCACCAAGATGGCCATGTATCTGTGGCTCGCGTCTCACGTCAGTCGTAATTCTCTTCATGCCTCCCCGATGAGGGGTCACTCACGTCGCTGAGGCTGTGAAGATCTCATGCCGCTTCGCATTCGTAAAGATAGCCAGCACCATGCCGAACAACAAGGTACACACACATTGCAGTCCCATAATCATGCCCATCCTCCCGGGCGTCACCTCACCTTGCACCCAGCTGTAGAGGGGATACAGAGGTCCAGCAAGGAAGCAAAGCAAGAGTCCGATCAGGATGACCATCGTGAACGCGTGGATTCGATCCCTATCGTACAGCGTGTGTCTCGGGTTACTCTGACTTGAGCGACTCGTCCGTTGTCCGCGTTGCTGCTCGACGTGTTCTGTCGAGCTTAAAGCTCTCGCACCAGTTGGTTTTTCAGTTCGGGTATGTTGACGTGCGTCGTGTCCTTGGTCGTCAACTATCTGGCTGATCTAGAGCCAGGAAGTTATGTTTCAGATCTCTCAAGTGCGTAAAGCCGGGAACTTGGTATGGCTCACCTTGGACCCAAACAGCCACTATGCAACAATCGACTCAGATCAGCAACTTTTCCCCTGCTCAGACTTTCCAGGCTGCTCACCCTCAGGGGCCGACACTCGTATCTGATCATCAAGTACAGCAATACCTCATCCAGCCAGACGCCGTCTCCGTCCGGCCTGACGCTCTTCAGGTCCCCGTCAGCGACAAGAAAGTTCTCGTTGCCGTCTATGGGAGGCCGTGGGCGGAAGAAACTGCTCAGGTATCCTAGCTGGTATCTCGAGGCATTCTTCAACGATCGAACGTCATTGGTCTTCCCTATGAACTCGGCTGGTCTCTTGATTAGCACGGACATGTCGAACGGAAATATTTCTCCTTATACCGTAGTCCATCCACTTCCTCCGGGTCCGGTGCAGCAACATCTTCCTGGTTTGGGATCTCTTGTCGCAGTATTCCCTGCTCCGCAACATGCCGGGGAACTCGCGGTCTCTCTCGTCAAGTCTGTACAGTAGTGTCTCGAGCTCTCGCAGCTCGTCCTGCAGCTGCAACATGATGCGCGTTTGCAGGTATCGAAACTGGCGGAATACGCTCAAGTTCTCCGCTGTGGCCATGTAGCGGGCCAGTCTGGGATAACCCTGCGGTGCCTCGTTATCTCAGAACGTCAGTGCATGCCCTGCACAAGTGGTGTCTGTGACTTACAGTCACAGCAGAGCCAATGTTGTGGTGGTATACTCCTGTCGACGTATTCGAGTGCCCGCAACGAGCTTCAACGAATTACACCATTTTTAGCCGAGAGAACCTTCTCTTTTCGTGAAGAGGTGCGATGTCATGTCGCTCGAGTGCTCACCTGTCATCCTCAGTCCCGCCACGCTGAGCCTCTAAATCATAGTTGGACATGTTGAGTGTGCGAGAACAAAAGATGCATGGTAGAAGGTCAAGTCTTGGGGCAAACAATATCCGAGTATCTTGATTAATTAAGGAAATCTACGAGGCCCGTATCTCTGCTTCACACCCCTCGAGGTGCCACAGTGAGGCCTCAGATATGCCGGCAGCCGCTTTACGCCTGGGGATCTTCCACAAGGTACGTCGTACCACCTGTACTCTCCCGCCGTTCGACGAATAGAAGTCGCGGGTCGGCGGGCATCGTGCATGTTTTTACCGATCACCTACCTGCACTTCCCTGAAGTCACCGGCAGATTGAAGCCGATCTTCGCTGTTACTGTCGTCACTGCACTTGCAGCTCGGCAGGTCCTGACTTCCGCACGTGCAACGCTTGACCAGAAGATTGGGCGATGAGCGCCGCCTGACCACCCACCAGAGTGTACGATCTCTACGGCGTACAATCAGTTGACCTGGGTCCATGGTGTCGTAGTTATCGTGGGCCGCTACGTCTGCCTGTCAAATGTCATTTTCCCCCTCCTACCGCTGATTGCAGAAAGACCACTTGGTCTGCTAGACAGCAATTACCTACCGTAGACATTGCATCACCTGCTCCAGAAGTCGTCCCTCCGACCATGGAGGAGTTCGTTCCCGTGGGAACCGGTCTACCGCTACCACCGAGGTTCTCGCCTGTGGCCTGGCCATGAGGGCGTGCCGAACGATGGCTCCACTTGGAAATCGTCGACCGAAACATCGTGTTCAGTGCTTTCGTGGTATTAGATATCAGTGAGTTCAAGCTTTCTGCTCCTGTTGTCCTTGTCCTTGTTCGTAGAGCGCAGACTCTCCATCCATAGCCCGCATTCCAAGCTGGGGTATTATAGCATGGCAGGCTGATGCCTTGCGTCGCGTCGAGGTTAGGACGGACTCATTGTCATCTGGCAAAACCAAATCGGACGCAGTCATGCGTATGCGAGCACACTGGGGAAGGAGTAGCCCTGCGGTGCCTCTGCAGCTTGCTCGTCTCTTTCTGGGCCGACGTAGAGTGATTCAGAGCTTCTTTAGTTCCTCTGACAGTTTATATTCCACGTGACGGGGAGTGTGTCCAGCACATCGTCGGGACGCTTGTCAAACAGCGCTCTATCAGACGCTCGATGACTTGGCTAGGGTCGCAATCACCATGTCGTTGGAAAGTCCTCAAATCGTCGGGGCGATGGCATTAGAAGCTCGTTGGCGATTCTTGGCCGACATCCTTTGATCAAGCCTCGTATAAACGCTGGTGAGAAAGGCGAGATGCCAGCGGTGAGCTGGTACTTCAGGTGTAAGGGCAGGGGAATCATCGGCCAGTCTGTTTAGCGTGAAGCTAAAGAGCTCAGCACTTGGTTGACACGGAGGGTACAGTCTATTGATCAGAGTTCGTGAACAATGAGTCAAACGACAACCACGGAATCCTCGACTGGAGGTTGACGGTATGTGCCCGACATCAGTGAGGGGCACATTTCTTCTTCCAAAGGTCCCCACGACTGACAACAATCGACGACAAAAGGACAGCGTAAAAGTGGAACACACTGTGCTGCGGCTTGAAGCGAAGTTTAGCCGCAGCGAACGTCATCACAGTGCAGAAGGCGGCCGTTGCAGGCTTGCAGGCGATGATGGCTCAGGAGCGACAAAGCTTTTAGGCCCGAAGTACCGCGATGCTGCGCCAATCAGGGGGGTTACGTCACAGGTCCAAGCCCGCCCCCCACCACCCTCGTTGGCTGCTGTGGGCTACTGCGGGCTGCTGGCGCGCCCTGGCGTGCTTTAGTGGACTGCTCCAGCGTCCAAGCGGGGATCGGATGCGCTGGAGCTTCTCCCCGCCAGTGCATCAGCTTTCTGCCACTTCCAGTCGGGCGGGAGCTCCTCCGCCGGGGTACCCAGGACGTTTGCAACTGCTTGAAAGACCATCGACTCCCTCCACGTTGTGAAAACATTCCGTCTTCCCTTTCCTCTTACCACCCTCTCTCAGCATCAATTGGTTCGCGGCAAAGCATCCTGCGGTCTTCCTGCAGGCTCACCGCAATTTCCTCTTGTCGATACCGACAAACACGTCACCTCGCCCTGGTTGGCAAACATTGAAACAGGCCTGTGCTGTCACACGACAAGGCAGAACTCGTTCAACCAGGCGCTGAACCTTGCACGACACTTAACCGTCTCGTAAAGTCGTCAGGACCTCTCCAAAACAAGAAAGGAGAAAAAAAAGCTTAACGTCCGGAGCTTTTCCTACACGGTTCTCCCTACCGTATTTCCGTCAACTCATAGCTCTTTGGCCATCCATCATTGCCATGGACGCCAGCCAGAAGCGATTGCTCGCTGAAGACGAGGCCAAGCTTCGTCGCTCTCAAGATGGATACGACTCGGAATCAGACATTGATGTCACGGAAAACCTTGCACAGAAGTCTGGCTTTGACTCCAAAGACCAACCCAAGCCTGCATTTCTGGGAGGCGACCGGCCAGGCATATTCTCCTCGTGGAAGAGACCTTTCAAGGGTCGCTCAAGATGTTGCATCATCTTCGCGAGCATCATCTTCACCCTCTGGGCTGTTCTCAGCGCAGGAGGCGCCGTCGTCTACCACAAGTACACGGGCGCGCCGCCCGTCGGTCAGTCGCCCCCTTGGTACCCAACACCCCTAGGCGGCACCGCCAAATCGTGGGCCGAAAGCTACAAAAAGGCTGCCAACCTGGTCTCCAAGATGACCCTGCCAGAAAAGGTCAACATCACGACCGGCACTGGCTGGCGCATGGGCCTTGCTGTCGGCACCACCGGTCCCGCCACCAACGTCGGCTTCCCTCAGCTGCAGCTGCAGGACGGCCCTCTTGGCATCCGCTTCGCCGACAACTCGACCGCCTGGCCCGCTGGTATCACGACCGGCGCCACCTTTAACAAGGAGCTGTTCTACCTCCGCGGCAAGGGCCACGCCAACGAGGCGCGTCGCAAGGGCATCAATGTGCTACTCGGCCCTTGCGTTGGGCCCCTGGGCCGCATGCCCGCCGGTGGTCGCAACTGGGAGGGTTTCGGATCTGATCCCTATCTGCAGGGCATTGCTGCCGCTGAGACCATCAAGGGTATCCAGGGCGAGGGTGTCATGGCTACCATTAAGCACTTTGTGGCGAACGAACAGGAGCACTTCCGTCAGAGCTGGGAGTGGGGACTTCCGAATGCCCTGTCATCCAACATTGACGACCGCACCATGCACGAGCTCTATGCGTGGCCGTTTGCTGACTCGATCAAGGCCGGTGTCGCCAGGTATGCCAGTACAACTGCTTCTTTTCGCCATGCTCCCCTCCTGTCCTGTCTGAATGTCAAGCTAAATGTTTCAGTGTCATGTGCTCGTACAACATGGTCAACAACAGCTACGCCTGTGACAACTCGAAGCTCATGAATGGCCTCCTCAAGGACGAAATGGGATTCCAGGGCTTCGTCATGTCTGACTGGCTGGCCCAGCGTTCCGGCGTCGGAAGTGCCTTGTCTGGTCTCGACATGACCATGCCCGGCGATGGCCTTCTATGGGAGGACGGCAAGTCGCTCTGGGGATCTTCTCTGACGCGCTCCGTACTCAACGGCTCTGTTCCCCTCAGCCGACTCAACGACATGGTCGTTCGTGTCGTTGCCTCCTGGTACCAACTCGGCCAGGACGACAAGGAGCTCTACCCTGACGAGCTTCCCAACTTTTCCTCCTGGACCGACGACAAGATGGGCGTGCTCGCGCCTGGCAGCAACACCCCGCAAGAGGAGTTTGAGGTGAACAAGTATGTCGAGGTCTTGAAGGATCACAAGGATATTGCTCGTCAGGTCGCTGCCGAAGGCACTGTTTTGCTGAAGAATGACGGCGTCCTCCCTATCAGCAAGGATGGCGAGATTGGCATCCAGAAGACGAGGCGCCACGATGGCAAGCTCAAAGTTGGCATTTTTGGCGAGGATGCTGGCCCTGGCAAGGGACCCAACTATTGCAAGGATCGCGGCTGCAACCAAGGCACCCTCGGCGAGGGCTGGGGCAGCGGATCCGCCGAGTTCCCGTACCTTCTCACGCCGGTCGACTCTCTCAAGAACGGTTTCAACGACGACAAGGTTGTCGTAACCGAGCACCTGGACAACAAGCTTGACTATTACAAGAAGAACCCTTCGGTTTTGAAGGACCAGGACGTTTGCTTCGTCTTTGCGAATGCCGACGCCGGCGAGGGCTTCCTCGCATGGGGAAGCGTCGGCGGCGACCGCAACGACCTGTTCCTGCAGAAGGGAGGCGACGATCTCATCCTGCACGTAGCCGCAAACTGCGGCAGCGGCAAGGGCGATACCGTTGTGGTCATTCACTCGGTCGGCCCCGTCGACCTCGAGGCCTTCATCGACCTTGCCAATGTCAAGGCCGTCCTCTACGCCAACCTCCCCGGCCAGGAGAGCGGCGACGCTCTCGCTGAGGTTGTCTTCGGCGACGTGAACCCCAACGGTCACCTCCCCTACACCATTGCCAAGTCTCTGAAGGATTTCGGAGCCGGAGGTCAGATCATGTACCTGCCTAACGGCGTCAATCCCCAGCAGGACTTCTCCGAGGGCCTCTACATTGACTACCGTCACTTTGACAAGTACAACATTGAGCCTCGCTTTGAGTTCGGGTTTGGTCTGTCGTACACTACCTTTGAGTTCTCCGATATCAAGGTCAAGACTGTCAAGGACAAGTCGGCGCTGCCCTCGCCGCGGCCCTCTGACGCTGTCAAGGCGCCCAACTTTGACGAGAAGATTCCCGATCCCAAGGAGGCCCTGTGGCCCGACAACATCCGCCGACTGCAGCGCTACAACTACCCGTACCTTGAGAAGGTGGACGATATCAAGCAGGGCGCATACCCTTACCCTGACGGGTACGAGACGCCCCATCCGCTTTCGGGCGCCGGCGGTGACGAGGGCGGCAACCCCGATCTCTGGGAGACGTACGCTACCGTGACGGTGGAGGTGTCCAACACGGGCGAGGTGGCTGGCAAGGTGGTCCCTCAGCTGTACCTCTCGTACCCAGACACGGAGAAGGACATTGACTTCCCGGTCCGAGTGCTTCGCGGGTTCGAAAAGTTCAATCTCGAGAAGGGCGAGAAGAAGTCGGTCAGCTTCGATCTGACACGCCGAGATCTCAGCTACTGGGACGTTGTGCAGCAAAACTGGGTCATGGTGACCAGTGGAGAGTACACGTTCTCCGTGGGCCAGAGCTCGCGGGACCTGCCTCTCCAGGTCAAGTGGTGATGTGGAGGAGGAGGGATGAAAAGACTCGGATGACATTTTGGAAATACATTTGAAGCAATCTCAGCTCTCACTGCCTTGCTAGCGATGCCTGGGAACCTGTACGTGAGATACTTGTATTGTGTACGTCTGTCGTGTCGTCCTGGTCGTACGTCCATGTGTACCACGCCACTACTTTCGGCTGTCCTACGCCACATTGTGGCGCGGCGTTCGCCATCAGTGAGGGAGGCACTGCAGCTGGGCTTTGGCTGCCCTGCCTGCCTGTGCACCTGCCCCGAGCAGCTCTGTGCCTTGGGTTCGCAGGCCTGCTGCAGCCCTACGGGGAGACCCCTGCCGTTTCAGTGAGCAAGGCGCCCAAGGTATGGCAGGCACCAGCAAGGCAGGTAAGGTAGGCACGACCTAGGTAAGGTAAGGTGAGGCATAGAAGCGAGAAGGAGCAGGCAGCTAGCTCGCTCTCTGTAGGATCTCACCCCCTCCCCACGACTCAACCGACCACCATCCTTCCTTCATCTCAACATCACAATGGCCCCCAAATAAAAGACAAAGCCATTCATCCTCCGGTCCCATCTGACCCCCTCGTCGCCATCCTCCTGCATCCTTCTGCTCCGCAAATCACGTCTCCGCCTTGACCCTTGGCACCCAACGCCCGGGTCTTCTATTTTCTGTCGCAGCTAGGCCTAGGCCCCTCTCTGCTCCCAGGCGGCGGCGCAGGGACCGAATCCTCTGCCGCTTCTATTCTCTTCTTTGGGACGACGTCCCACGCGACCCCCAGGGCACGACTGACGCACGATCGACGCATCACAGCTCCCGAGTTGGTGCCAGGCGAATTGGAAAAATGGCTCGAAATCGCAGGATCGTGGTCCGGGGTGGCTCAGGAAGCAGGATGCGCTATTCCCTACAAACCCTCGGCGAATGTCTCCTGGTACCATGCTCATGACCCAGCAAACCCATCTATCTCGAAGTTTAATGTCTTGCAGCCCCGTTCGTTGCGAATCACGCCTCTCGCAGTTGACCAAGCACCACCGGCCTGGTCCATCCTGCCGGGGCGCGTGTCCAAGCCTGGGTGCTAGGTCTAGTAGTCCCGAAATGGCTTCGTCGTTTATGACGATGTATGGCATGCGGCTCCTTCAGACGACAGCACGGCTGGGACCGAGCCCAGACGACCACGCGCTCCGAGGCCCACGGCAGTTTCTGGTGTCCCCCGCCAGGCCGCTCGAGGGTCATGGTCTCCTGAGATCCAAACCAATGTGGCTCAGGTCCTCCTTCATGGTCGACCTGGGCCCCTCTCGTGTTCTATTTGGGCCACCTTCATTCTCCATTTTGAGTCGGCCTTCCACTCGTTATCGACGGATCGAGACACCCTCCTGACCTCAGCCTGCCATCTTGTCCTATCTGACATACACACCCTCCCTGTCTACGAGCGCGCGCGTTGGGACTTGACTGCTTCCCACTGCGACGACGCGTGGAGGTTACTGCTCGGCACCTGCTTTCCTCGACCCCTGGAGCGCCTTGTCGTTGGATTCAGGAGCTGTCCAGCTGTCGAGGCAGCATCGCCAACCTCTCACCAGAAGCCGTGGAGATTCTTTGCGCTCATCGTTTGCTTCATAAAGACGGCGTCCTCTGTCTCCTGTCATCTTGACATTTTACACAGACATCAGCACCTTCCTACGAGCAAGCACTTTGGACTTTGAAGTGGCTTGATAGCTCGTTTAGCAAAGACTCAGCCAGATATCATCTGCGCCATCCTCGGATAACATTACTACAATGCCCTCCTCCAGCTCCAGCGGGTATAGCCGTCACTCCCGCGGCAGCGGAGGTCATCGCTCTCGCGTCAGTGGTCCCAGTCTGTCTACTCTTACAACATGTTCCTCATCTGACAACTCCCCTAGTCCTCCATCCAGCAACTCATCACCTCTCTTGAGACCCATCGCGTCAACACCTTGACAGAGCTCTGCCGAATCGAGCGCATCGCTTCCACCTGTGAAGATGAAGATGATGCTCTTGCCTTCCAGGGCCCCATGACCGCCGCCTGGGACTATTACGTCTCCAGCAACCAGCTTCTCACCGAACTTCGGGGCCTCACGCGTGCCTATCCCTTTAGCGGCGATGTCGTCCGCGACGCGCACCGGCTTGTGCGGAACGATCCGGATTCGAACCGGAGCTGGAACTTGGCGTGGCTGATTCTGGTCAAGATTCAGGATGAGTAAGTCACCACCTCGTCATGAGACGAAAACATCTCCTTGGTGCCGCGAGATGCTGACTGTTTAGGGGTCTGATTGCCGTGTACGCTGCCATTGAGGCGAACCGTCCAGAGATGTGGGGTGGTCGACGGCCAGTGGCGGAGGAGGCGGAGCTGCTCTGCGGGTACTTTGAGCAGGAGTGGAATCGTGGCGTGGAAACGATGTTGAGGCACTGGAGTGTAAGCCCGACGTGGTACTAGGGAGCGGTCTTATTTGGCGCAGCTTGGTGTAACGTGATGGACTGGGTGGCTGGCTGAAGTGAGATGGCTGACATGCGCAGCAGTGTGAAGATATGAGTAGATCTGGGTTGTCATTTGGTCTGAAATCGAATTCGGGGCGTTGGTGGCGATGCTTCCTTTTTCAATGCCGATATGGGTCGCTCAAGACCATCTCTATTCTCTTGTGATGCATGCCGATGCCAGGCAAGGTTATCCTCGATCAAATCATCTATGAAGATGATCGGCATGCGTACCGTTGAAAATCAAGGACATGCCGAGCTTGGCATTGTGTATGGTTGACATGAATCATAGAAGAGAAGAACCATTCAATTCATCATGTCATGACTGCGCTCACAAAACGCCCTCTATCACTACCACGTCCCGTTGCTTCCAGCGACGCGGGAACCACTTTCTACCATGGTCGTGCACACAACACCATCCCACTCCGTCTAGGTTCTCGCTCTAGTAATGCCTGCGCTACAAAGTTTCCAAAAAAAAAAAAAAAAAAAAGAAGAAGAAGAAGAAAGTTTCCATCCCGCAATGCTCCAGTCTAGAACACGTAGCGGAACGCCAGGTTCTCCCTGTCCGTGAGATCCTCGTAGGCGTGGGAGGTAAAGTCGGGGCTCGCCTCGGCGACGCCCGACGCGGCCAGGTCGTCCCTCTTCTTGTTCTGGCGGACGAGGTGGAAGCGCAGGGCGACGATGATGAGGACGAGCAGGCCGTAGCAGCCCATGTGGGTGGAAAAGGCGATGAGGTAGCGGGGCTGGTCGCGCTGCAGGAAGACCTGGGGCCCGACGGCGTTGCCGGCGGCCCAGAAGATAAAGTTCATGGCGACGGCGACCGTCTTCTTGGTCTGGCCGGCAATGTTGCGCGAGATGAGCGACAGGGCGAGCGTCTGGGCGGCCCAGAAGGAGAGGGTGATGTAGTACGAGATGAGCAGGCCGACGTTGGTGCCCATGCTGCCCGTGCGCACCGTCATGAGCACGGCCGTGCCGGCGAACGACGGCAGGCAGTAGACGAGCATGATCCAGAGGTTCTGGCCGTAGCGCTTGGCGAGCCACACGGAGCTCAGCAGCACGATGATGATGTAGAAGCCCAGCACCATGGCCAGCAGCTGCGTCTCGATGAGGCTGAAGCCGAACGACTTGATGATGATGTTGGCGAAGGCGCCGAGGCCCGACGTCGGCAGCGTCGTGCAGAAGGCGATGCCGCAGTAGCCCCAGACCTGCGGGTCCGTCAGGCCCTCGACGAACTGGTGCCGCTTGAACGTCTTGTTCTGGATGCCCGTCTGGTTGTCGCGCACGCGTTCCACCATCTCGTGCTTCTCCGCCTCGGTGAAGCAGTGCGCCCGCATCGGCGAGTCGGGCATCCAGAAGCCCACCCACAGGCCGAACACGACCGAGATGACGCCGTACGTGAGGAAGAGCCACTGCCACGACGCGAGCGGGCCCGTCTTGATGAGGCTGAAGCAGTAGGCGAGCAGGCCGCCGACAATCTGCTGCGCGCCGTTCATCATGTACCTGGAGGACGCCCGTTTGTTAGCGAGCGAGAAGAGAGAAAAAAAAAAGATAAGGCAGATGGGGTACGGGAGAGTGGGCGCGTACCAGTACGTCACGCGGGAAGCCTGCTCCTCGCGGCGGTACCACATGCCGGACAGGATGACGAAAGCAGGCTGGCAGACCGACTCGAAGATACCGAGCAGCGTGCGGACGACGAGCAGGCCCTCAAAGCTGGTGCAGGCGGCGTGGCACGCGAGCGTGATGCCCCAGGCGACGATGCAGAAGCTGAGGTACTTGGCGATGGGGACGCGGGCGATGAGCCAGTTCTGGGGGTATTCGACGATGAGGACGGCAATGTAGATACACGTCGTCAGCCAGGAGTACTACAAATGCCCCCCCGCGGCGTTAGCAATGGGAGCGGAGAGGGAGCGACTTTCGGTATGATGCTGTGACAACGTACCGACTGCTCCAGCTTGCCTTCGGCATCCACCAGGCCAGTGTCCTCGGGGAGTCCCATGATGGAGGAGAAGGACATGGTGCCCTTGTCGATGGCCTGGAGGAAGTACGTCAAGATCATGACGATGAGGACGCGCTTGTCGATCATGCGGCGGAGCTGGTCGCTGCGCTCGGGCGAGATCTCGATACGCTCGGCGTTGACATAGTTGGCGAGCTCCCTGTCAATCTCGCCATAACGCGTGTTGGCTTGCTTGGTGTCAATGTCGACGGACCGGGTCTCGGGGTCGTCGTCGATCGTGTCCGGCCTGGTTGTGGGGTTGACAGCCGGGTTGGTGCCATCCTCGTGCTGAGAAATGGTGGCCTTGTTGTCGCCAGCCTCGTTGGAGGTCATGTTGGGCGATGTTGTGGAGGGCGGACCCAACGAGAGAAATCAGAAATGAGATGGGCGTTGTCGATGAGAGATCCTTCTGGTCAAGGAGTGAAGCAAATCAAGGAGTGAAGCAAATCTTCAACTTTGTCAACTCGATCGTATTCCTCAACGTCCTGCTCGTTAAAAAATACATCAAAGTGGGCATGGGCTTGCCAGCGCCTTTTAAACAAACCACCCTCCCCATTCCAGGGGCCCTGGATGCGAATCTAAACGAAGAGAGGCATAGCGCTGGCAGTGACATTAACCCGAGTGCAGCGTGGACGGTATGGGTCTGGAGACGAGCGACTCCAGATTTCTTCACTGGTGCCATGGGGTTGCACGCGGGGATAGAGCTAATTCACTCATGAAGAGAGATAGAGATCTTGGGGACGGACGGCTGGATTGGCTGCCCAGCGAGACTCGACGGTGGAACCAAGGGGTATCATTCAGCCGAAGACGAAAATACAGCGGGGATGCCGTGTCGATCCCCAGCTCGCAGACGACGCGTCGTGGTGTGTCGACCGGGCAGAGCGGCGAGTCAACCTGCAACGGCTGGTAACGTCCAGGTCGGGTCAGTAGGGGGCGTGAGACATGTTGACAGGAACACGAAATCGGATCTCTCGGATCGTGGTGTTTCTGTCGCAACTCCCCTTCCGCCTGTCCGTGGGCTGCCGGTGGTTGAGTGTGTTGACGGTCGTGAGGGCATGCCTAGCATTGAGGCTCTTGTCCCGAATTGCGGCTCTTGGTGATGGCCCTGCGGCTCTTTGGCTGTGCCGTCACCCCCTGGCCCCTGGTCACAAGAGGAAGCAATCTAGGCGGGAAGGGTGCCCGTGCCGATTGCTTGGCAGAAGCTTGACGGGCGAGGGCGAAGTGGTCGAATGTCGGCATAGGCTGGTGAGCCGACCCTTTCCACCAGTGAAATGACCAACGTCGTCATCGTGGCTTTTTCTCCCAATTTTCTCGTGCCTCTTCTTTTTTCTCTCTGAGGGTCTTCTCGGTTGTCAGTGCCATCAACGTCACCGGCTCAGTTTTGCTGGCTGTGGCTTGCTTGGCTCTCCCGTCGTGATTCCAGTATGCCAAGAACAAATCCGATGCAACGTCACTCGGTTTTGGAAAACCCCTCTCTTTTCCATTTCAGATTCCAAGCGCATCGGAGTCGGCCAAGGGCCGATGGCCGCTCGCGGTTACGCTGAGCGGTTCAGCGCAGCGATGGCACGCTAGACCTAACGAGAGCCAAAGACCGTTTACCCGAGCCAGTCGTGCGCCATGGCCAACTGGGGCTCTTTGGATCTCTTTTCGGCCGGATCGCGGAGTATCTACCTGCTCCGACGTGACGGAGGGCGTCCTTTCACATCAACACGAGCGACGGCCGCAGCTGAGGTAAGTGGTAACCAAGTAGGTATGTTATGGCTCGATGCCCACTTTCCGGGCCTTGACGGACTGTGTTGGGTGTTGTTGGATACTTTCAGCTGCCGTGACTTTCCCGTGTCGGTGATCTCGAACACAGGATGATCTTGCAACCTGGAGAAAGAGAAAATTCCTCGTTCCATCTGTTCATCGCTTCGATCGCAAGCACGCCTTGGATTACGAATCGTCAGAAGCCTCATGATCCCGTACGAAGCATCCGCCAGCAAACTGCCGACAACCGGAGCCTCATGGACCGAGTCCTAGCAAAATGCGATGAAAGAAAGGGGCAGCACATGAGGGATACTTATGTACCCGTGCTGTAGGGTGGGCAAAAGAGAGAACATCGGGGCATCTTCATCGCCGCTGGTGCTCATGTGGCTGAGCATGAGCCACAACCCTTCCCCAATGGGGCTAGAGGGTGGGGGAGACGAATGCTTTTTCACTGGACCAATGCCCCAGATGGTGAGGAGATGAGGGGAAATGCAGTGGACTTCGTGGAGTTTTCCACACCGAGCTTTCGTTTGACCCCCACGGAGAGAGAAAACGAGGGGTAAAAACTTGGGGCTTCGGGGGGGGGGGGGGGGGGGATCCCCTGGTTGGGGGGGTTTTTGGGACGGTCTCTTCTTGGAGAAAAGAAGCGGGGGATGACAAATTATGGCGGAATTTGATGGGAACCGCCCTCAATCATGTCCTTCTGGGTATGTCTTGTGGCTTTGGCTTGCCCCCCAGGGTGTGGGGTTCGACAAAAAAAAAAATCCGGGGTGCC